TTTATTTTCTTACTTCTTCTTATTTAAAATTTAATAAATAAAGTCCAATATTTAATATTTTGAAAAATAAAAAAGTTCAATTTGATTTCAAGTATTTACTTTTCGTACTTTTAGTTCAATTTTATTTCAATTTTTTTGTATTTATGATAAATATATGAAATATTTACATTCAATAAGAATAAAAAGTAGAGTTATAATTTCAAGATATTAATAAGATATAATAATATAATATTAATTAAAAGTAAGTGGAAAACATGTAGGACCCATAAAAAATGAAGTTTATAGAGTTTATTGTTATTGGAGATTTATGGGTGTAGGAGTAAGATGAGGTTTTGGATGATGTGAAATGTTGGGATGTGTAAAAGTGAGGTTTTTGGAGATTTATATAAAATCATTGCTAAATATGCCCTTACAGAAAATATGATAGCTTCTCAAGTAAGTCTGAAAAGTGAAGTTTTTTTCTTTCACTTGAAAAGCAAAAATGAAAAAGTAAAGACTTAACATAATAAGATGTCAGATTGATCTCAATATATTATATAATAATGCATAAAAAATAATTAGTGGATGCAACATCAAATCAATACGTATCTCTAGAAAGTATTGGACGGCTAAAACTACAGAAATTCTATGGTGTCCATATGGGTACCATAAGTCATGCCACAACATGAGGTGGTATATGATGTGGATTTGTTAATTAGATTTATAATTCCAAGATGGATATTAGGTTTACTTAAAGATTTTTCATACCAATCTGTTCCCAAAACAATAAGCCCTTCCTGTTCCCCCAAATTCACTTCAACCTCACGACCTCACTCACCGACGCTACCGCTGTTGAGCTTTTTGCGGTGCTTTTCCGGCAAATTGGTGGCGGCGGCGATCTGCGATGGGAAGAGGGAGCTCGGGCTGGACGGCGGTCTACGATAGGGCTTGGTTGCCGGCAAAACTTCTCAATTTGTACCTCAAAATCAATCTGTCGGGGAGAAATCCGTGGAGCTCGTTGTTGGATATGTTGAGATTGGTGAGATTTGGGGAAGGGGATGAGATGAAATTTCTGTTGTTTTATACGCTTAAGTTTCACTATATATATTTTTTCACTATATAACGTAACTCAAGAAGAAAGAGATAGGATAATTCCAACCCACAACTTGTCAACTACGAGAAAAAAGCTTCGAACACGAAACCCATGTGATTTTCATGTGTTTTTTTTTTTCTCTGCCTGTAATACACCTTTAACAATGGCGTGGAGTGTTGTTGGTCGATGAATGATTGATTGAATATAATACTCTTCTCTTTTTTTCTCTGTTTTATACTCTCAATTTCACTGTATATATTTTTTAGTCTATTTATTGTTTGTATAGAAAGAAAGAGAGAACCTTGCAAGCAGGGCAGCCCAAGTAGCCGATATTATTGAGTTTGATTTTACTGTGCGTATGTGTGTGTGCGTTTGCTTCCTAATCTGACTTGAAAACAAAGGAAAAGAAAGGATCGAATGTGGGTAGAAGAGGGTAATTTTTATTAATCTTGGAATTATAAATCTAATTAACAAACCACATCATATGCCACCTCATATTGTGGCATGAATTATGGTGCCCATATGGGCACCATAGAATTTATGCCAAAACTAAGCTACACACATACTATAAAAGAATAATTTTTTTAAAAAAAAAAGCCCTGCAAGCATATCTGGAAAGGTTTCAAAGTCATAANTATTGCAGACAAATGTAAGACCTAACCAAAGAAAATTATAACCTCATGAAACAGGAAAAAAAAAAAGAAAATAAGAACAACAATAATGTACTTATAGTCTTCGTCGTTAAAGCCTTTTCTAAGGCAGTAGAGACAATCCCAAATGATAACCTCTAACATAAAGTGAAAATAGAATTGGAATAGTGTATGTAACATACAATTTCTTGCTTAATTAGAATAAAATCCCAACTAAAACAACCTAAATGTACCTTATAGATGCACCCAAATGAGACACTCCAAACCTTTGAGAAAATAAAACGGTAATTAAAGCCTACCATTCTCGCACTATCGAAGCCATTTCAGAAAACACGAAAACCTACAATATCATTAAAATGAAAGTTGCAGCTCGGCAATAAAAAACTTGATATCAATACAATATCTTATAAACTGAAATTTGGAAAACAAAATAGAAAACTGAAAAACACAAAAGACCAACAACAAATCTCAATCCAAATCCGAGCAACCACAGCAGCAAAATAAACCCACATGATAACTTTCATTGAACAGGAAAAAATATCTGATACTCTTATATTGCAGACAAATGTAAAACCTAACCAAAGAAAATTATAACCTCATGAAACAGAAAAAAAATAAAATAAAATATGAACAACAATAATGCACTTATCTTCTTCGTCGTTAAAGCCTTTTTCTAAGGCAGTAGAGACAATTCCATATGATAACCTCTAACATAAAGAGAAAATAGAATTAGAATAAGAAGCATAGTGTATGTAACATACAATTTCTTGCTTAATTAGAATAAAATCCCAACTAAAACAGCCTAAATGTACCTTATAGATGCACCGAAATGAGACACTCCCAACCTTTATGAAAATACAACGGCAATTGAAGCCTACCATTCTCGCACTCTCGAAGCCATTTCAGAAAACACGAAAACCTAAAAAAAGAAAAATAATAATAATAAGGCAGAAAATTCTGAACCTAAATGCGAAAAGATTAATAATTTCTTACCTAATTTGATCCACAGCCGCATACAAAGAGGAATCGTAGATAGAATTTGAGACGTGAAAGGGCAGTCAAAATTGGCGATGAAATGAGATCTGAGTTGTCCCCGACTGGGTTTTTTTTTTTCTTTTTGTGTGAAATGGCGTCGTATGAGTGCAGTCGAACTCACCCGACCCAAATTGTGAAGCCCTCTCCTCCGCAGAAGGAATCGCCCAAGGCACCACAAAGGGCCTGCGACGGAAGAGAGGGGGAGAAGACGATGCAGCGGCTGCACGGCTGAAGGATGACGGAGTAACGGCTCTCCTTCACGCCTCACAAACGATCGATTGAAGGTCACAGACAGATTTGCATCGCGAAGAACAAAGAGTGAGAAACATAGGAGAAAGAGTTCAGACGCGAGGGTGAGGGCCAGAATGAGAGGGGAGAGCATTTAAAGTCTTAGACGAACGGTAAAGATTGGATCCCTAAAATCCAACGGCTCAGATACGAACTCTCCAAAACTGTGTCGTTGTGATCAGGACGAATAAAATATACATAAAATGCCACGTGTCAAGAAATGAAGGCTCATAACTTCTTTTTATAGAATAACTAGCAGGCTATCGCCGTGCACAGCACAGCAGACCCACGTTAGAATTTTTCTTTCAAGTCAAAAGATTATTTTCTGTAATTGGAAAACAATGGGAAATAATGAAAAATAATAATACATTATTGAAACCATAAATAAAAGATTTGTCACTAAATGTAACACTAAATACACTACATCGATTAGTGTCAAGATCCGGCACGAAACCAGAAGGAACGTGGGTCAATTGCTATACTTGTTCAAACTTCAAATTACACATTAGTTTAAAAGAAAAGGTTTGACACCTGGTTAACCTGAATGTGGGAAATAAAGAGTACATCCACATCTAAACCTTTCACCTGCAATAAAAAGAATAATGCTTTTAGTGATGGGTGCAAATGTTTAAGCGGGCATAGTTATTAGGTCAAATATATTATTTCGCCATTCCACAGTTAGCACTTGCAGTGTTTTCACAAGTTTTGTGAAATATTGAGTTATTTTTATAGCACAAAATAGGGGAAAAAGAGAGAAAATGATAGAGGTTAGCCATCCCAACCCTGATGTTTCGCTCAATTTAAATAAACTCACAAATTGTATGGCTGTAAGAATTTAAATAATTTGATCTAAAGTGAATGTACAACATGAACCAAAATTTTATGTGTTAGCTAACATATTCATTTATGGTTGACAAAAGGTTTAGTCTGAATGCTTTCTTCATCTCACCAAATTACTCCATCAATCCTAAGAATACATTGTAAAGATAAACAAGAATAATTAATTGACATACCAAAAGTGTTATATGCAAATTGTCATGCGTTTTCGACTCTGTACCATCTATTTATTCAGAGCCACAACTCGTGTTGTGAATACGGTCTTTGTAAAAACAATTTATCCATGAATCATAAGAAAAATGATTGCTTTTGCTATACTTTGGTTTTGTTAGTGGCCCAATGACAATCAAGTTTTCCCTTATAGCTCCGAAAACGACTCAACTCTCAACTTTTGGAATTACATTTGTTTACCAGTTCAGAATGCATTGACATTGCAGTTTCTAAAATGTGCAAAACTGCATGATACACAAGTACCATAGTATAAACAATTACGAAGTTTAACTCTAGATGTGCAAATAATCCAAGATAAGACAATGATATGTGAGATAATGTTAGAGAGGTGTGAATAGATTTTCCGCACAAGAGATACTTACAAAGTTAATGAAATATCATATTTCTGATATGTCTCCTTTTAGCAAGTCTTGTGATATGGGAAGATCCTTGACATGGAAAATTGCAGTTTGAAATTTTCAACATTGATTATTTAATTTAACAAAGTACTTATGTAAACCCTTTACACATTTAAACATGTACCAGTGGTGTATTTGTATATTAAAAAAAGTGTGTTGGTTAGGACTTTATACTAAGCGAACATGATTCCAAATTTTACAGGCAAAATATCATCCTCTCATCAAAATAGGTTTCTGAATCATTGTATGATTGACGTTTCTAAATTGCAAAATTTTCTCCAATCAAGCAGAATATGAAAAGATTTTAAGCATGCAAGTCTAAATATATACCATCAGAACTCCTAACACATGAAGTTTGAGAAATTATATATAATTGTCGGCAAGTTGTTAAAGCCTTAAAGGTTTGTTTTTTTTATAGTTTTCATGATTCAGGCTTACGATCTTATTATAGCTTTACAAATCACTTGAATTCCTTCACATGACAACAACCTATAAGTTATTTAGCAATGTTTCATGGATAGAATCACCGTGCCTCATAGACTCATAGTCCGATATAAGTTGCCTGTATCCATGGCATATAAAACATTCTGGATGCCAGACAACACTCAGAAAACTTAAAATGTTCCATTGCCAATTTCCATGTTACAACCAGCACAAATCCTACCACAACAGATGTAAGTAAAAATGAAGAAGAGTTTACCAACGAATATTGTGAAAGGGTGATGTATACTGATGGAATTTAAGCACGTTGTCTTTGAATAAGCTTATTACAGCAAAGGTCAGAAGTCCAAAAACCAACTGGAAGTAGACCAAGGCGCCAGAATCATTTTGCTTCAATTTTTTTTTTTTCAAGTAGTAAAGTGCTATGTTTTAGGCTTGACCATAAGTACTAAATAATTATATAACAAAAAAATTAAGACAAAAACATCATCTTCCAGACCTTTTATACCTACAAACCTCAATGTAATGTTATTTTTATGCAACAGGCGAAAAAATTTAAAAGCCAGTCAAAAGATGCACCATAGATGCTTAAACTCGGATTTAAAAATGTCCAAGAATCCATTTTCCAAAATCGAAAACTCACAGCAATGGATTGCAGCCACAACAGCCTCTACCTTCTGCTGGATGAGCAGGCCCTTGTACACCCAAGTTATTCTCGATTCATCCCTCCTCGTGTGTGGCCCGTAGTCATCCAATGAGCTCTATGGAAAGAGTCGAGTAAGGTCATTAGGAGAACCCTAATAATTTAACCTAAATTGCAAAAGTACTAAAATTAAAAAAGAAAGCTTACCTAAGTTGCAAAAGTACTAAAATTAGAAAAGAAAGCTTACCTAAGAAATAGCATCGACACCGTAACAGACTCCTTGTGTCCATAGACTCCATGCCATCTAGTTTTGATACATCGGTCCACAGGTGAAGAAAATTGCACCGTTGTTCACGTGTCCGCGCTCAAACCTTAACCACCCTTCAACAAAACAATGAGACCCAGACCGGAAAAAAAAAATAAAAAACGAATAGATTCGCACAAGAAATAAGGACGACAGACTGGGGTTTGGAGGCTACAAGCATCGGTCGGAAAGGAAAATTATAAAAAATGACGAGATTTGCATAGGAAATAAGAATGCAAGATTGAGATTTGAAGGCAAAAAAAAATGGGGCGTAAAATATGTATGAGTAACTAGTTTGTCAACGGCTGCACAGCACAGCCGGGCCCAATTTCGTTATAATAGTGCTCAATTTTTGTTATAGTTAGGTATGTAATTAATTTATAATCAAATTATGTGTTATAATAGTGCTCAATTTTTGTTATAGTTAGGTATGTAATTAATTTATAATCAAATTATGTGTTACATTGCAAAAGTAATTTTTCATTGAATATTACTTTTAATATATAGTTATCATGCTAATTGTATTTGCAATGTATAACAAAAAGAATGATAATTACAGCGCTTTTACAACATTAGTACATTAAAATCAACAGTGACAGCTACTACTGAAGCATCAAGATAAATTTCATTTTACCTTCAATGTCTCAGTTAAAAGTGGCACAATATGAAAGATCTACTCCAACACAATTTGGAATGGCGGCATAGTTGATTAGTGCAAGCCACATAATAGATTAGTGCTAAAGTTGGATTATAACAAACATTAGATTTTAACTTTGAATGCATTGGGTATGATTTCTGAAATGCAAGTAGATTAGGATTGCTATTCAAAAATTCTCTCATAATACCATTCTGCATGAGTTTATTCCCATGACTGAACTATCGCATCTTTATATTTAGTATTTGCAATTTGTATGACTATTTTGGTGGTGTTGCTATAGTTGCTGTCAATATGCGTTCTCTAAAAATTCATGGAAATTGGCTGCATCAAAATGATTGTCTTTAAAAAATGAGAAAAATCCAAGTATATTAAGTCGTGCTTGTAATATAATTTTATGGTAATTTTGCATAATGTATGCACTTTCAATTATCTGACCATGCTTTTCCAAATAAGCAAAGAAAATGAGCCTTTTGGAAAACCACGACGCCTCCTGTTAAATAACAAAGACAATTTCCAACAACTTCGTGTCAAAAAAACAAAAACTATTTTAGAGAATTTGAAAGCAAAAGAGTTCCCAGTGATGGGGGAACCTGAAAAAAAAAAAAAGAAAAAAAAATATATTTAGCAAAGTTTTTCAGTTGAAATTTCTCCTTGTTTTATGCAGTACCACGCTTGAGCTTTTGACATAATTTCCTTTTGTGAGGCATGTGAGAAATCGAACTGAACAGAAACACAATTGAACTCAAATTAGTATTTGTGAAACACCTGTTAACATTAAGTTTTTTGATAAAATAGAATGTAAAATTGCTACAAAATATTTAACGAAACTAATAATAGCGTATATTGGGCCTTCCAATTATTTCACTTTACATTTGTAAAATTATAGCGTATAATAGCGTATATTGTTCATTACTCAAAATATACCTTTTTGAAGTGAATATGGAAGGAAAATTAGAAATTTAAAATTAAATATCCATTTAAGCCATTTTACCATCCTATAAATGATATTTGACCCCCGCTCAACAAAAAATCCTACACTCAACCTTTGCCAATAAGCACAATTCATACCTGTGTGTATATTGTTTATCTCGGTGAAATAAGTGTTCTCTTTCTGCCTGGAAAAAATAATAGCCCCTTAAATAATTCTTAAAAATGAGCAGCAAAGTATGAGTTTTAGATAACAAAATTAAACTGAAGAGAAAGAAATTAGATTTGTCCTTGTTAACCACGCTAATATCTCAGTAAGTAGTTTCAAACCGCTCAATAGAAGCTGGTGTCTAAGAACTTCAATTACAACAAATCCTAAAAGATAGGAACTTCAATTACAACATGTCACAGTTGTTGTCATCCTCGTCCATAGAGCTTATGACGCAAGACGTCTCTATTCCATAAACTTCATTCATTCGCCATCTGTGTGAAGCAATTGTAAAATACATGAAATGTAATAAATGAAGGACAAGAAAACAAAAAATAGATGAGAAAACTAAACTATAACTGCGAATCCAAACTTTCTTATCTTCAAGCCAACCAACACAATCTCCCAGTTACTTCAACAGCAAGAAGCCCAAACAAGAATTGGATTTTGAAAAAAAAAAAAAAAAAAAAAAAAAAAATGATTTCACACATATCTCACAATAGTTGAATCACACATATGTCCCAGGTCCGATCTTCCTTGAACCCAGGACCGTAGGCACGTCCCTGCTCGGTCAAGGCTCGAAATCGGATTCCCAGTACCCACAGCCCATTAATCGACGATTGCACCTCCAACACGAATTTCAGCATTAGCCCCCCTACAATGTTGTATCGCCATGAATGATTTAAAACTGCTTTCAACTACGGCACCAGCTTCTGCCTGGTTAACAAGGGATCAACACCACTTGGTAATTAATTTCAGATTGACGTCTATCGTTCTTATACCCTTCTAAATTAACAAAGTTAGAAAGTAGCTCAGGTAAATTATAAACAAAAGAAATAAGATGTGGATAAATTACAGTTGAAGCAACAATAGCTGCAACTCTTCGACTCGTACTGGTTCCCAAGACAAACTGTTCCCTCAATGCAGCAGATTTGGTGAAGCTATCGCGAGCTCTTTCAAGTCCTTCTGTAATATATAAATTGACCTAAAGTTGTAATGAAAATTACAACAACAACAACATAGCCTTTAGTCCCAAGCAAGTCGGGGAAAGTTGTAATGAAAATAAACAAACAAATATAGCTATAAAATATCATATAAAAATATTGAAAAAGAAAAAGGTGCTAAGCATATAAAGAAAAATGGAATTCAACATGGTCAAGAGGCAAGTGACAACAACCCACACGTTGGCAGCAAGTGTGGCAGATTGCACAATGACAACAAGAGAATAATCATTAATTTAAGAGGGTGTAAAAATAAGTGCAAGATAACAACAACATTGGAAAACATGAACCGGATACATCTGCTCAATTATCAGATAAAAAAAAAAAAAGAAGTAGAAAAATAAAAGCCCAAGGCACGAGCTTTCTACAGCCACTCCATCTTTGAGGTATTCAAATAAAAAAGATTTTTCCTCGTTAATTTAAGGATTGCAAAAGAAACCAAACCAAAAACCAGATCAAAATAAGATGAACTAAACGATCAAACAGTCACACAAGGTAATGAAAGTCTTATATAAGCCAAGCGATCTACCAAAACCTCGAAACAAAAGAGAAGAAAACAAAGAACGAATGAAAGTATTACAACACCAATTCAAATAATGCATAAAAATAACACGAAGGGTGCCTCTATTTGATGCTTTCCCGCCTCTCTCTTTCCTTATGAAATCATCGTCAGCAGATTCACCTTTCTCCTCACCATCATCATTCCCCATATCACTCTCACCCGCAGTCTTCCACTCGGAATCATCACTCTCGTGTCCACAGCCATCACTGGGCCCACCCTCACACAAAATGCCGCCATGCTTAGCTGCAGCCTCCCGAAACAGCCACACGGCCCTCATCTGTTTCTTCACGAGCCGATCAGCATAATCCAGGACCTTGTTCTGCCTCAACGAAAGATCCGGGTCAGCCTACTGAGAACACTCGTTCACAAATAGGATTGCATCCAGAAGGCTCTCCTTGGCCATCCCGGGCTCAGCGGCCAAAATCTAACCATATATTAAGCAATTATTAACTTCTACAGGTCCAATTCAACCAACAAACAACATTTAATTAGCACCAAATAAAAGAAAACAGATAAAAACACACCTTTCAGTGAAGTCTCTATCGTCGTCGTCTCGTGAGATTGAATGAGATTGAATTTTTTCCTTCCTGCAAAGATTCAACCCAATGTCATCCAGAATACATAATCATTATACAAGCAAACTTAATGATAGAAACAGAAAAAGCTAGTATGCTATTTATCCTACAATAACATATTGAATTATATTACTCTATGGGTGTGCGCATATGACAAAAGAAAAGTGAATATGTTTATCCATCTAATGAATTAAAATGAAAAAGGAAAAAGATTACATTGTGTGTGTGTTTAGGTTCCTACAAAATCAAACTTAAGCCGACGACAACAACAACTATCTTAAGTGTAAATCCCCATAGCCATATGCCTAAAATGAACTAAATAAGCAACTAACAAGTATTAACCAAGCAAAAGGACAACACAACCTAGTCAACGCGAAAAAAAAGTTGGAAATCCTCATATCATTCAAACAACTACATCCTTCATCATCATGATCTGTCTTAAACCCTCGTCTTTATCACGACCAATGTCCAGTCTGTAAACTTAAAAAGTTGGAGAACCGAACAATATCACCAATGAATGGTTCAAAAAATCAACTATGCACACACGCCAGCAAAATTACAGAAGCACATCAACAACTGTTCGCAAACTGAATAATCCACATCAGAGAACACAATTTCGATATACCCTAATTCCAAAAGTCCCAAATTAACCCAATAATAATGTGTGACAACATCTTCCACAATAGGCATCCATCCATTGAATATGAAATCAATGAAATTCAATAACTCTGATAAGTCGCGCAAACTATATATATTGTCAAATGAATTTTTTTTTCTGGTGATGGAGTCAAAATAGGAAAAAGAATTCAGAAGGGAAAATTGCGAAAAAAAAAGAAGTCATTTTTGTCTATCATGACAATAAAAACAACTGTTTCGACCAAAAGCAGCATTCCTGCAAAGACGTTGAAAAAATGGCCGCTTTGTATATTCTGAGAACCCGAATGAAAATGAGAAATTTTTCAAAAAAGTCACTTCCCATCTCAATAACAGTCCACGACGCCTGATTGGGCCAGATTTGTCCATTGCTGGACACATTCCGTCGCCTCTCTCGTCTTCAACCTGTCTTCTCCCTCCGAACACTACAGCCGGTCCGCTGCTCAGGCGTGGAACAATGTAGGACGACGGCGGGTTGTTGGAGTAGGGCATTGAGGTGAGCCTAGTGTGGAGCCTGGAGGTGAAGATGAATATGAGGTAGAGCCGTAGAGGAGAGCCACAGGGGGTTTGAGATTGGAGATAAGCTTCTACTCTGTTGAGTGTGCGAAAAATCGAAAGCTCTGCACAAACAAAACCACAAAAATAATGCCCTTAATATCAACAAATACCCATTAAAAAATAAATCGACACCAACACACAAGCTGAAAAAAATAAAAAACAAAAAAGGCGCTGGCCCTGTACCGTCACACGGCGGCGCTGGATCTGTCGATGTGCTCGAGGGTCACCGATTTCTCGCTCGTGGTTATCTCCGACTGGTGCAGGGGAATTCTGAGATCGGTCAATTTGTCGTGGTCGAGGTTTATCAAGCACGCGGGGCTGTCGGATTTGGTGCGAAATGGGTGAATCTGGTGGAGATTGGTTTGTCGAACGCGACGGAGCTCCAGGACTCTTCCATGGCGGCGGTTGCTCGGGCGAGGAGCTTGGAGAGGCTGTGCCTGGCGAGGCTAGAGCGAACTCAGTCAGGAGAGAAGAAAGGGTTTGGAAAATGAAAATGAGGGTGATGTCGAATGCCGATCGCTAATATTTTTTCCTCTGGTAGAGGAGATAAGATAGGGGTTGGTAAATGAAAAGACTGCCTGATTGCGTGTGTGCGAGAACTCGGGGAAAGGAAGAAAAGAGACGTCTTGACCAGCGGGAATTCTGCCAAAAGGAAAAAAGTTTCATGTTGGGGCTTAACAATTAAGGTAGACCAAACGACGTCGTTTACTCTCAAATGGAGAGCAAAGAAGGCAGCCACGTGTCGGCAAACAAAGGGGATATGTGGTTTTCTTATAAGGTAGAGGGAGATGCGCACAGGCCGCAGGGTTGGAGAAATAAAGTGACAAAACGACATCGTTTTTTCTCAGATGACGACGTGACTTAATAAAAAGAGTAGGGACACGTGTCAAAAAAATAAGGTAGGACTTCTTTTTATAGATAAGAGAATAATAAGAGTAGGAATCTCTCGGTTGTGTGATGCACAACTTGTCCATAACACCAAAACATTTATATTTGAATGTCATATTCCAAAATTTTATACAAATAGATTTAAAATTGCATCAAAAGACTATCGAAAAAGAACTTATGCTCATAAACGAACATAAAACCATTGATAAAATAAACAAATTATACGGCAAAAAGTTGATCACACGAAGGACTGTCAAAACATAATTTTTAGTTTTCAAAAGTCAAAGCCAATTGGCCAAACATAGTGATGACTGTTATTGTATATATTTGTGTATTTACCGTATTAGTCTTATGTTATTTGTAGCCCTAATTTTTGTGTATATATTCTTGGTTTATAGAGAGTAGTGATCATTTTCTCAAATTCATCTCGTCTCTTTCGTGTCAATGACCAATTTATCGTAAAATTCATCACGCTTATTAAGTGATTTACGAACAAATTTGTTTAGCCTGCGTAATTAGTTGAACACAAAGGCCGCCAATTATCTCAATTTTCAAAATGTACGGGCTCCCAACCTATTTTTAATGGATAAGATAGACCCGAGTGTGTTAAAATGTTATAATAACATTGCATCATTGAGAAACAATGAATTATTACAATTTCCTCTTAAAAACCTATACATTTTCCATTTGTGATGGAAAACGTACTTGCAGTTAAGTAAATTATGATACACCAGTTGACATGAGATGAGAGGAAGTGGATGAAAGACAATAAATGAGTAGGAATTTAGGTATGAAAAGACAAAAGTGGTTCCACATGTCTAAGCCATTCACGTTTGAGGCCGGTGTGATTTCTTTCCACATAGAAAATACTAATCATTTAAAAAAAAAAAAATCATCCCAAAACTACACATGAGAGAGAGTGATGAGGCCACATAGCCTAAAAGTAGAGGGATTAAAACTATTAAAAACTAAGTTGGCAAAAATAAGTAATCAACTCAATAAATAATAAAACTTAGCATAAATAACAAAACCCAAACTTATATCCTCAAGCAAAACAACAAAACATGGAGGATAGAAAACTTGGCCCAAATATATAGCCCATAATTATACTCACGAAGCAAAAAATATAAAATAAGAGAGTTGACCCAAATAATATATTCCAAAATTATGTTGCAACATATAAAATAGGAGAGTTGGCCACGGGGCACACCATAAGGGACGCAACTTTCCGTTATTAAGATGTAGAGGGGAAGATAAAGTATAGATATAGATATAGACTAGTTGTCTACCGGCTGTGCACGCACAGTCGGCCAACATCCAACGTTCAATGGATGGTAAGATTAACGAACATTTAAATTATCATTTTGATTGTTTGAAAATTTTTAAAATGTTGGCGAAATTTGTACAGTTTTCTTTATTGACTTTGCTATGTTTTGTCGAAGCTCTTTAATTGTTTGGTTCAATTTTTTGTTTTAGGCTGAACGTNGTGTCGAAAGATTAGTAAAAACGTTCAGCGCAATATTTGTTTGTTGCTATACGTAGTATTGATTTACCATCATTTTCTTGTTATGTATGAATTTGATGTATTCGAGAGTGGCAGAGGTGCACATTATTTTGTTGCGGTGATGTTAGTGTTTGAAATAATTGTCTGGATATTGTTTTGATGGCGCATCTATTTTATAGTTTTTTTGAATGTGTTCCTTTTAGAAATAGTTTTGCATTATTACAATGAATTTGGAGGACCTATTTTAATTATTTAGTACATTGTCGAGTTTATTTTATTTTATTTTTTTGGATGTTACCATGCCTGTTTGTAAATTGAGCTTCGACACTTTAGTATAAATGTCGATGTTTTTTGCTATGTTATTCAGGCAATTGTTAAATGATAACATTGAGAACAATGGTGCATGTGTTTAGTTCAATTTTAGAAATAACAAAACACATCTGAAGTCATTAAAAGTTGTACATTTAATTGTTTTAAATAGATGGGATTTAGAAAATAATTCAGCTTTGACGGATGCTGCTGAGTAAAATTTAGTTTCGTTTTAAATAGGTAATAATTTATTGTTTTAAAAAATCGAAACTCTTGATAATGTGCATAAATCTTAACGGTAATAAATATATTCAGTTACCATATTATAAGTTACTACATATACTCTCACATAAAAAGCATCACAAATAATTTAACCCTATGACAACAAATTGAAATGTAAAGAAAATGTAAAGAATGCAACTATAACAAATAACTCTACATATACCACATCGATTTAAGCTCAACAATTAACCAAATGTAAAGAAAATAAAATTACCTTTAATTTGATAACTATATCAATCGGTTTAAGGCTAAAACTAAAAAAAAAATAAAAAAATGCAGCTATACTTCCGACAGCTAAATCCAAAAAATAAAAATTAAGAAGACGAATAAGAAAAAGAAAAAAAGAAATCAAAATAAAAAGAACAAAAATAACTCAAGGCACAAAAGGTAGCAATAATTCTAACCATAACCGCAATATCCCTTTTTTTTTTTTCCAATCGACAGAAATCTCTCCATAAATAAAACTGAGTACAACATAAAGTCCGACAACTGAGAGCGCCATCGCAGATGGGCTAGAACAACAACAAAGAAACAACAACAACCTAACACACTTTAGAAGTAAAGCAGTTACCCTCAACTGAGCCTTTACCTCTAACTCGAACCAAACCAAAACCAACTCACAAAACAAACACCAGAACCACTACCACACCATCACCTACAACAACACATAAAAACAGTTGCACCAGCACACTAACACACAACTCACAAAACTAAAAACCATGCAACTACAAACTAACCACAAAAGAAAGAAAGAAAATACACCTAACATCTACTGCCTTGGATAAAAGCTTCCCAGTCCCTTGTAGCAGCTCTGACAACAAAGAATGGAGGTCTATGCACTTGCTCAAACACCCACAAATTGCGAGACTTCCAAAGCCACCACATAATGTAGGTAGACAATTGAATCCTTGCTTCAGAAGTCTCACATTTGTCCAAATGGCAAATCTGCCACCACCATTGCTTGAAGGACTCATTCTCCTTTGGTCCATCCCAGCAAACTTGGGCCATCTTCCAAACTGCAGCAGCATACCTGCACAGAAATAACACATGCACTATTGATTCTCCTTCTTCCCCACATAAGCTGCAAATTGGATCAACCCCTATCCCTCTATTCCTCAGCTGAAGCTTAACAGGTAAAGAACCATTGCAGCACTTCCAAATAAAATGTTTGATCTTCCCCATTACATTAAGCCTCCAAGTTCTAGTTCTTACCTTAATATCTTCCTGTACATCCCTGCTCCCTTGTACTGAATTCTGTTTGAGGAATTTTCCTGCAACAAGCTTAGCATATGTGGACTGGACACTGAACCTCCCTTTTCTGTCTAATGACCATATCCAGAAGTCTTCTTGATCAGGCTTCAGAGACTTAATACTCAGAACAGAATTACAAAATTCTGTTGTGAAAGTGGCTCTAACTTTATCCTCATCCCACCCTCTTCCATCCCCTTGCAGAAGATCACTAACCCAATGAATACCCCTCTCCACTCCAGGTAAAAGCTGAACTTCTTGGCCAACAAAATCAGGAATCCAGTGTTTATCCCAAATTCTGATGCTCTTACCATTCTTGACCTCTATCCTCATCCAGCTCCCACATTCTTGCAAGACTGTTAGCCAACTATTCCACAGCCATGAAGCATTCTGTGATTTCTGAGCATCAAACAGGGAAGAATTAGGGAAGTATTTAGACTTCAACACTTTACTTACCAGTCTATCTGGCTCAGCCACCACCTTCCACAATCGTTTTGCAATCATAGCAGTATTAAATAGCTGGATATCTTGAAATCCTAATCCTCCAAACTTTTTAGGCAATGTAAGTTTATTCCAGTCCACCCAATGCATTCCTCTCTGAAAATCAGCCCCTTTGCTCCACCAAAATTGACCACATACAGATGAAATATCTTTACACAACCCAGCTGGAAGAATAAAACATGACATAGCAAACACTGGCAATGCATTAATGACTGCTCTAATTAAAACCTCCTTCCCAGCTGTTGACAACCACTTGTTCTTCCAACTAAAAATTCTACTCCTCACTACCTCCAAAATATACTGAAAAGCTTCAATTTTGGACTTTCCTATCCCCAATGGTAGTCATAAATACCTTGTAGAGGTATGTCTCTGAATCCGTGGCAGCATAGCACAAATATTATTCTGAACTACCACTGGTGTGTTTTTGCTAAAGAATATAGTAGACTTCCCCATACTGACTTGTTGCCCAGTAAAATTCTGAAAATATTGAAGAATAAGAAGCAGCTTCCTAATCTGAGCCTCATCTGCCTTACAGAAAACCAGTGTATCATCAGCAAACATCAAGTGAGTAAGAGTGGGACTCCCTCTTGCTATCCTAACCCCTCTGAATCCACCCCTTTCAGCTTCCACAAGTATTCTTGCTGATAGCAATTCAGAGATAATTAAGAATAAGTAAGGGGATAAGGGATCCCCTTGCTTAATTCCCCTAGAAGCAGAAACAAACCCACAGCACCTGCCATTGATGTTAAAGGAGAAGGTAGGAAACTGAATACAAGCCACCACCCATTTCACAAACTGTCTATGAAAACCCATTCTCACCATAGTTAACTGTACAACTTTCCATTCAACACAGTCATAAGCTTTCATGATATCAAGTTTAAGGCCTAAGAAGCAATTCTTTCCATTCCTATGTCTGTTTAAAAAGTGAAAAACTTCATGACCGAGAATCACATTATCAATCAATTGCCTCCCAAGTAAGAATGCATTCTGATTTTCAGAGATACAAGCATGTAAACATTGCCTCAACCTCATTCCCAAAATTTTGGCTATTACTTTATAAAAGATAGCACAGAGGCTAATAGGCCTAAATTGAGTAATAGAGACAGGATTGGAACATTTGGGAATAAAAGTGATAAGTGAGTGTTTCCAGTACCTCAACATCAGCCCAGATTCAAAGAAGCTTTTTACTGCTGTGCATATATCAGAACTCAAGATAGGCCAGAAGTGCTGGTAGAATAGCCCTGTCATGCCATCTTCACCAGGAGACTTGTCAGGGTGGATACTGAACACTGCTTCCTGAATTGTGGTCTCATCAACTGTAGCAATAAGTAATTGATTCATTTCCTCATTGACAGTGGGTTGTATGCAAGGTAGTAGTTCTTGGCCATCAGAACAGCCCTTTGAAGAGAAGAGTTGTTCATAAAATTCAGTTACAGTTTTCTCAATTGCATTTGAATCCTGGGTCATAATCCCTTCTGGTGTAAGAAGTCTATCAATTGAATTCAATTTCCTCCTTTGTGCAGTGTAAGCATGAAAGAACTTCGAGTTCCTGTCTCCTTCCCTCAGCCACAAAGCCCTGGCCTTTTGTTGCCAAAACATCTCCTCAGAACAGTTAGCATCATCCAACTCTTTCTTCATTCTCTCCCACACCTCCCAATCTCTATCACCCCCTGCTGCTCTCATTTCTTCCAATTTAAGGGTAAGATTAGCAATGGTTTGGGCATTTCCTGCCCTGAAATACTTGCTCCACTTCAACAATGCCTCCCTGACCTTCTTAATTTTCTCCTTCACCCTAAACATTGGAGTGCCATCTACTACCCCCTCCCAAGCTTGCTTGACCACATCTTGCACCCCTTCTTTCTTGACCCACCTTTTGTCAAAAAGGAATCTTCTTTTATGTCTAACAGAACCACCTTTAGAATCAATAACCAACATAGTATGGTCAGAGGCACTTCTGAACCAACTATGAATTTGAGTATGGGGAAACATAGACTGCCACTCCAAAGACACAAAAGCCCTATCTAACAACTCCTCCACAAACTCTTCACCCTCCCTATTATTAGCCCAAGTAAAATGAAGCCCTGTCATAGAAAGCTCCTGAACCCCCATATGAGCAAGAAACTCATTGAAACCCCAAAAACTACTAACAGACCTACTCACCCCACCCCTCTTATCCTCTGGCTTACACAAATCATTCCAGTCTCCAACCAACAAGAACACATTCCCCCACATCCCTTTCTCTTGAATCAGCCTATCCCATTGACCTATCCTCTCCCTTTTACAAGTACTAAGATACACAAAAACAGCCCAACACCACTCAACCTGCCCCTTATCTCTGAACTTAACAACAATGAAAAAACTTTCCCCATAAACATGATCAATCTCTATCTCAGCATCCCAACATAACACCAAACCCCCCTGGAACCATTGGATTCTACCATAAAAAACCTATTTACAAACCCCAATCTATTACAAACTTGAAAAACAAATTTTTTTGGTTTTTTGGTTTCTGATAAAAAAGTAAACATAGGGTGATGGACCTTCAAGGCTTCCTTGATCTGGGGAACTGTAGAAGGCCCACCCAGACCTCTACAGTTCCACACCAGAGCTCTCATTGAGAACTTGAGGGCTTAAGGTTGGCCCTCTCCACCTCAGCAATGTCTAGTCTGATCTTCTTCTCACCTTGAATCTGGTGAGAATCCTCCATTGTATTGGTAGGATGTGACTGCTCTTGTTCCCTCTGCCTCTTAGTCATTGTCTTATGAGTTTCCTTGCTAGATGCAGCCTTTTGCCTAGTCAGCCTTCCTACACTCTTTACAGCTCTTTGCCATGTCCTCTTGATAGCTTCTGGCTTAATTGGTTCCCCCTAATCTCCATTCTTAATAGGCACTAACTCTGCAATAGATATGTCCAGAGCCATAGTCTCCCCTTCATTTGCTTCTTCTCTAATAGATATCATTTTCCCAGAGATTGGATTTTCATCATACACCACCAGGTCTTTGCCCTTAACCACTTGAAGAGAGTCCTCCCTTACTTGATTTGATGGGCCAGCTTGATTTGGATGAGATTGCTTGTTCTGAACTGAGCTAACTGCCACCCCCGGAGAATTAGTGTGACAACCAGCAACCTCCTCATCTTGTTGAAAGCCATTTGTATGTGCAGGCTCTGGAGTTTTATTGCAGTCAGATGATGAGCTACCAGTCCTCCACCCTTGACCCTGTAATCCATCTGTTGCTCTCATCCAGTCACCAAATTGTCCTTCTCTGAGTTTACGCCCCTCCACATCCTCCACCCGCTGTCCACACCCTCTCTCAATGTGACCCACCTTCCCACAATAAAAACATAAATTCACCAATCGTTCATACTTGAAGGTAACTGTGATTACCTGGTTGTCAAGACGGATTGAAGCACATCTAGGTAGGGCCTCATTCAGGTCCACAGCCACCAACAGTTTAATCAATCTGCCCCCATAATTGCCCAAATTGCTAATTAACACATTAGAAACGGATTTGAAAACTTGGCCAATTTTCAGACCAACATCAGATGTTATCCAGTTCAGCGGCACATGATGGACTTGTACCCAGAACTTGAGTTCATTGAAGCACTCGTCTTTACTGGTTATTCCTTCTTTCCATCCTTTTAGAATTATGTACTGGTTATCAAATACCCAATTAATACCTCCTGCAACCCTGGTCCTATCCTCCTCCTCTTCAAAGATGAACTGAAAGAAGTTCTTATCTAGCTCTCGTACCTCCATCAACCCCTTCGGTTTCCATACAAACCCCATAGCCTTCTTCACCCCTAAAGGATGAGCTCTCTTATCTCCCACTACTTTTCCAAACAAGCTTTTGTGACATTCCTCAATACTAGCTTTCACATCCTGAGATTGGATATCTATTATCTTGGTCTCTACTTTCGATAATGAGAAAGCCCTAAGCCGCTGCTCAACTTCTTCCGTCGGATTTTTTGACTGGGATTCCTCCATGACCTAAAAAAGAACAATGCCTCCTGCGATAACAACAACTCCACTCCACACCAATATATCAATCCTAACAATGACGTTACTGATCTAACTCTCCGTTGAGAGAAGGAACTCTCCGTTGAGAGAATAATAATGATGCAAGTAGTGTGAAGTTTCTTGAAAATCTATAACCGCAATATCCCTAAACTCCTGCTTTATTAGATAAATATTTTTTTCCTCAGTTATACATCTACCCAAAGAGGGAATCACCCATCTTTCGAAATAACTGATCAACAAAGGTTGAGTGTAAAGAATATAATAGAAATATAGTGTATTTTACATTTTATGAAAATTATAAACTCATTTAGTAACCTATCTAAAATGAAAAAGACGACTATCTTATTAGCACATAGGGTCATATTAATAGACCAAAATTTGAAGTCACGAGTATAACTATAATATAATGCTGAACAAATTGCAGGAGAATGAATAGGAAGCAAAAGCACTTAACAGTTTCCTTTTTGGAATTTTTTCTCTCTCTAGAGTCCCGTTCCACTAGTTGGAGTCTGCTTGTTTTGCTCTTTGATTTGTGCTTTCTCTTTGCTTTTCTCTTTTGTGTTCTTCGATCTATTGTGTTTTTGGTGTTCTTCTAATTGTTTCCTTGCTGTGTAGTTTCTTTTCTGTTTAACTATGTCTGAAGTTTTTGCATTGCTAGTTTGTTAGCCATAGATGGATCTGCCAGATCTGTGCCTAAGTCAAGTTAATATACCTGTTCTTGCTTTCCTTGACCATCATACCTATATCTATCCCGGATTTCTCAGGAGCGTGTGAGTCTTACCCTGTTGGGGGTTTAGGGTTGGGTTAGGGTTTGTGCGGTAGGGTTTAGCTCGTAGTAGGGGGTGGTTGTTGGGGGTTGTGGGTGTGGGGCTTTTTAGGGGGATGGATCAAGATCTTTCAGATGCATTTCGAAAATTTGCTCTCTTAGATAAAGAGGAAGAAGGAGTTGAGTTGCTAGATGGGGATGTGGCCCCGTCGGTGAATGAATGCCAACTTAGCCTTCTGGGTAAAGTCCACGGCGAGAAAAAGGCGAACTTCTATGGTCTCAAGACTACATTCGGGTCAATATGGTTGACGAAGCACCCGTTCACTATTAAAAGCCTGGGAGACAATATTTTCCAATTTCTGTTCTAGTGTGCAGAGGATAGAGACAAGATTTTTACTGGAAAAACTTGGAGCTTCGATGGCCAATACATACTTCTGAAAAAATGGGCTCCAGGGGAGACTGTATTCATGGAAGCAGATGAACATATCAAAATATGGGTTCAAATCCATAATATGCCTCTCCATTGGATTGGCGCGGAAACTGGCTTAAAGGTCGGGAGATTGATAGGCAAACCTCTGGATGTGCAAGTGCCAGGAGCTTCCAGTCATCAGGGTAATATCCTCAAAGTGCTTGTGGAGATGCAGATAAGTGGACCGCTTCTCAGAGGCAGCAAAATAAAACTTGGAGCCGAATCTAAGTGGGTGGATTTCAGGTACGAAAGTCTCCAAAGCTTTTGCTTTTATTGTGGTCGATTAGGGCACAGTGATAAAAACTGTGACTTTAAGAAAGCGGATGTCCTTAGAAATGCTGTCAACCTAGGGCAGTATGGGGAGTGGTTGCGGGTCAGTCCTGTTAATTTGAATGGGTCTAAATCTTTTGGCAGTCCTAATTCTGGTAGTAGATCTTATGATAAGAATGCTGAGAGAGAGAACTCTGCTGGGCAGGAAGGTAGTGGCATTAGGGATAAGAGGAATGAGGAGTCTCTTGCTCTGGTTAACATTGTTAAACAAGTTGAACCAAATAATGAAGTAGGAGGGAGCTCCATGGATGAGAGTAGTCTAGACCCTATTGGAGGCAAGAACTCTAGTAGTTTCCAATCTCTGGAAACTATACCAGAGGAGTCTAGGCTTATCTCATCTGAACTGGTGGACATTGCTGTTCAACATAGTTCAATTGGGGCTAGGGTTTTGCAGAGAAAACAAAAAGCTTTTAAAAGGAAATCAAAACTGGGGAAAGAACCTGTTTCTGAAAAAATGGCTGTGGATTTTGATCTGGTTACTGCTGATAAAATCTCTCCTCTTTTAAAGATCTAAAAGATCTTTAATAATAAGAGAAGGCTTGGAGAATCAAGAAGATCTGAATTCATTCAAGTCTAACAAAAAACTCAAATTGGATCTTCAAAATAGTAATCCTGTGGTGGAGGCAACCAGCCCTAACTGGCCCCAAAGTTTTAAATGAAGGTATGTGTGTGGAATTGTAGAGGTTTGGGGGGACCCTCTACAATATCCCAGTTAAAAGAGTCTCGATTTTTTTTTATTCTTCTTTTTTTTTTTTGGGTACGGCAACTCCGTCACAGTCCATGATATTTAGCTATTCGTGCGAGAGTTATGCACTAAAACTTCACAGACTGGCAGCTGTTGCAGCCCACAATCATTTTTTTTTTTTTTTCTTTTTTTTTTCAACACCCATTATTCTTTTCCTCCACATTCATTATTTATGACCACGCGTCGCAACACGGCAAATTTAAATTTATAATTTTCCTCAACTAACCTCTACTAACTAGTAGTAGTGGCGAGTAAGGGTCGATCCCACGAAGAGCAGGAATTAATTGTGACTATTCTCGTATTAATTGAATTAAACTAGGAAAGCAATAAAAGATGGGGGGATTGGTTTTATAAAAATAAAAATAAAAATAAGAAAATAAAATAAAAATCTAATAAAATAAGAGAAGTCCAGTTTTTCGGTTCAGTTATCACCCAATCTAAATCTATCGTTAATTAATTTCGACGCTTTCTTTAAATTGCTAATGAATTACCGACCCTAGCTAACAACAAGCTCTGTTAACCGAATTTCCCCTTACTGAATATTTAATTGAAATAGGCTCTTCGACTAAACCTAACTAGTGGACAACCTAGAATAAGCTCTCTAGATTTAATACACTACCAGCATTAATTTCTAGGAAAATAGATCAGTCTAAGCAATGGAAGCAAAAGCTCGGACCATTTAACTTATGCTCATGCTACCCTAGAGATGCACGACCCCTAGTTTACTACTAACGAAACAAGACAATAACAATTACGGATTAAAGCCTCGAATCTAGCAATTAAATCATGGATATTCAACCTAGCTGGCCAAACCAAATCAAACACCATAATTCATAAACACGATACACAGATAACATGAATCAACTCATCGACAAAAATAAATACGGCGTCTAGATTAATCAACGATAAATTCAAATCCTTAAATCCATAGACAAATTCAAGTTAGGGTTTAAACATCCCCTAAAATTGGATAAAAATACTAGCCTAACATACTAATAAAAATAAATATAAATAAATAAAAGAGAGAGATTAGTTATCTCCCTCGTGTGCAAGTGCGGCTTCCCTCCGCGTGTGTAGCCTTCTCTCCGTTTCTTTCTGTTGCTGCGTATTTTTTCTCTTCGTGCGTCAGTTCTTTTTCCTTTTTTTTTTCCGCGTGAGTGCTCTCCAAAGAATAAAAAAACCCTCTCCAAATAAATAATTCTCCTAGCTAAAAAAATGAGTTCTGAATGTCTCCAACTCCAACAAATAATTCATGCCTATCTCTTTTCTCTCAACCAATCAAGTCTCTTCAAGTTAAATGAATGTTCAGTCCCTCCCATCCTCTCTCTGCGTGATTTCTTTGGTTTAATTAAATGGGCTGCATGAATGGGCCATGTGAACTGGGCGTGTGAATGGGCATTAGTTTACTTCCATTGTAGGCGTAATTGTCAGGTTTTGAGAAGGCCCGATAATTGATCACGTAAACTTTCGTCTATTGCTTCACGTTCACAAAATACTCCAATAAGCTGAAAATAAATATAAAAATATCAATGTGTATGGATCCATCCAAATAATAAATAAGTCAAAAAATATAAACGTGCGATTAAATTTAGTGTATAAAAAATACACTATTGTATATATAAAACGTGCACATTTTTCGACCTATCAAATCTCCCCAAACTTAAACCGTTGCTTGTCCCCAAGCAACTTAGAAATAAAAGCACATAGATGGATATGAACAAGTACGTGGAATATTACTCAGGGCCTCACAATTCACACATAAATGCATAGCTACAACTTCTCAAATTAATAATCCCCGGACTCGAAATGAAATCATCTTTAAAACGCCAACAATCAAATATCAATTTAGTGAATCACCGCAGTTTGTCAATCTCTTCACCGAGTATACCAATCATGCAACTAATGATACCCTTTTCTTTGCCAACCAGTTTGGTTCCTATTCGCTTCTAGCCAGAAATCAAAAGTCTCGATATATTTTTTTTTCTTTTTCTTTTTTTTTTTTGGGAACGGCAGCTCCGTCACAGTCCATGGTATTTAGCTATTCGTGCGAAAGTTATGCACTAAAGCTTCACTGACTGGCAATTGTTGCAGCCCACAATCATTTTTCTTTTTTTTTTTCTTTTTTTTTCAACACCCATTATTCTTTTCCTCCACATTCATTATTCACACCAACATTTTTTTTTTTTTTTTTCGAGACAATCAACTCCCAACTTTCCACGTCAAGTTACCTCACACAATCGACATCAAGCAGAATAGTCACCAGCACATTTCAAAAATATAAACAGTTCGAGACCAACTCACCACAAATAAAACACATAAATATCAATCGTCATGTCTTTGTCCCTTAAATGACAACACTTCAAGAATTTAACCAGAAACCATTAACCCGACTCATCATAACTAGCATAATATTCCAACAGACACTCAATTCATCATCGCAAAATTTCACATACAAGTAACATTAAATCAAGATAATATATAAAATAGAGCACAACTCACAACTCACACAAATATACCTCACTCTAATGAATCTCCCCAAACTTAGAGTTTGCACATAATAGAACAAAATACAAAGTAAAAGGAAAGAGTTCACCTTATCAAGAGAAGAAGTCACGTCGCACACCATTGGGTTGCCTCCCAACAAGCGCTATTTTTTATTGTCGTTGGCTCGACTTATTGCTCCGCTTTCTTCAAGCGGTCCATGGCGGCTTCATAGGTGGCCTCAAAGGAGGCATGAACCTTGCAGCTCCATGCTTATGAAAGATCCCCTCGTCCGGTGTCGGGTGCTTGACCGGATCTTTTCTTCTTGGTGGCAAATGATCATGGTAAAAGATTAGCCCGGGCTCATGGATAAGAGGAAAAATCTCTACCACCTCCAGGATGTACGGCTCTTGATTTTCAACATGCTCGGGTGCTGGTTGATTGACCTCGGATAGAGGAGATGAAATTTCGGTCATGCTCGGGGCAATTGTCAGAGTTTTTACGTCATTTTCACCTTCGAGTGGGCTGTTATCGGGGGCCCCGATAGCAGTAGTAAATGCTACCAGGTTTTTATCGGGGGGCCGGTAACAGCGAAAATTTGCTCCTCATCGCCTTCTTCTTCTTCGTCCTCCTCATCGTTCGGTTCAAAATTATGCTCGTCCAGCACCTCAAGCTCCGTGTTGCTGCTCATCCTAAGCTCTCCGTCATCATCGTGGCTGGCTTCGGCTAGCCGACTCTTGGCTCGGGAATCCAATTCGCTCAATACATCTCCAATCTTTTTGCTACTAGCCATCAAGGACTTTTGACACTCTTCAAGTAACTTCATCAACGATGGACTAGTCTCTTGTTCAAGCGAAGGTTCTGAAAAATATTGTGAGCCTCCATAGTGGAATTGAGATTCGTCGTGCTCATAAGTAGGCTCATACGATCGAGAATATCGTGGATTTTCATAGAATGAATAATGAATTTCCACAATCTCCCCAACTGTAATGGCCCCTATTGAAATTTGAATACGCCCAATCGTCTCGTCGATACCAATCTCTCTCGGTATCTCTGCGTGCACCATACCTCTCGATCAAAAGTGGACAATCATCGGTGACGTGATGTGTGGTATGACATAGACGACATGGTTTCCTTAGAACTTGACGAACACTCTCAGTGGCTTCTTGGATCATAGCCGACATCCTAGCCTCACGATGTTGGTCTCTTATTTCCCTCTTTTTCATTTCATAATATGAATCGTAAGCGTACGCACATTCCGGGCTCCAATACGCATCCATTTATAATAAGTACCACCTGTAAAGGAAAACAAAAGGAAAAAGAAAAATAGGGGGATTAAAAGAGTCAAAGAAAAAAATAATAATAATAATAATAATAATAATAATAATAATAATAATAATAATAATAATAATAATAATAATAAAATAAATACTAATCTAACTACCTAATTCAATTAACACTAAAACAATCACAACTCAATTTCGCCACTCCCCGGCAACGGCGCCAAAATTTGACCGCGCGTCGCAACACGGCAAATTTAAATTTATAATTTTCCTCAACTAACCTCTACTAACTAGTAGTAGTGGCGAGTAAAGGTCGATCCCACGAGGAACAGGAATTAATTGTGACTATTCTCGTATTAATTGAATTAAACTAGGAAAGCAATAAAAGATGGGGGGATTGGTTTTATAAAATAAAAATAAAAATAAGAAAATAAAATAAAAATCTAATAAAATAAGAGAAGTCCAGTTTTTCGGTTCAGTTATCACCCAATCTAAATCTATCGTTAATTAATTTCGACGCTTTCTTTAAATTGCTAATGAATTACCGACCCTAGCTAACAACAAGCTCTGTTAACCGAATTTCCCCTTACTGAATATTTAATCGAAATAGACTCTTCGACTAAACCTAACTAGTGGACAACCTAGAATAAGCTCTCTAGATTTAATACACTACCAGCATTAATTTCTAGGAAAATAGATCAGTCTAAGCAATGGACGCAAAAGCTCGGACCATTTAACTTATGCTAATGCTACCCTAGAGATGCACGACCCCTAGTTTACTACTAACGAAACAAGACAATAACAATTACGGATTAAAACCTCGAATCTAGCAATTAAATCATGGATATTCAACCTAGCTGGCCAAACCAAATCAAACACCATAATTCATAAACACGATACACAGATAACATGAATCAACTCATCGACAAAAATAAATACGGCGTCTAGATTAATCAACGATAAATTCAAATCCTTAAATCCATAGACAAATTCAAGTTAGGGTTC